GTCCCTGGGCCAGGGGTCTGTGCGGATCTCCATGTTGCTCTTTTTTCCCGGGTCCTGGGCAGAGGCTGTGCTGACGCAGCCCCGTGCTGGGCAGGCCTCCGGGGCAGAAGGCCACCGTCTCCTGAAGCCTTGGGGGGACTGTGTGCTGGAACCAGCACCCGCGGGCCCTGTGCCCACCCCCCGGCCCATGAAATAAGCAAAGGCCCTGTGTGTGCCCATCAGTTCTCTGGCTCCATCCACGGTGCCTCTAATTCAACGCCACCAACCAGGCCGCCTCTGGCTGCAGCCGGTACCCAGCCAATGGCTCCTGTCGGTCTGATGGGGGCCGGGGAAATGGGGCTCCATCCTGGGGTGGCAGGAAAGCAGCCCGGGACCCCCATATGAGAGGACAAGGGTGAGGGGTGAGGTTTACTGTAGAAGCAAAACCGCAGGACCATCCTGGCTCCGCTTGGGCGTGTCGGCACCATCTGTCCCCGGAGGAGTCCAGCCTGCCCGCCCCTAAGCCCAGGACACAGGCTGCGTCCAGAGATTCCGGGCCACTGGTCGAGCCCACGTCACAGCTGAATCCAGTTCCGCCCCTGCGCCCACCTGGCAGCTCCGTCGTGTTCCCGGAGGCTCTCCACTGGCACCTGTGCCCAGGCCCGGGGTGGGGGACACGCCTGTGGTCTGCGAAGCCGCCCGCGACCCCCTGAACAAGCGAGGGGGCACATGTTCCTGGGTGAGAGAGGGCTCCTTTGTTAGGATCTGGTTATATTACCTCGGGCTGGAGAAGGGCTGGGCATTTTTCAAAAAACCTTATCTTTATTGTTGGAAGTATTACAGATGCCCCTTACCATTGCCCCACTGTGAGCACTTTTCCAAACCAACCATTCACCACCCAGTCCTCCCCAAGTTGGAGCTGGGTCCTCCCCCTCAACTCCCCATTTGCTACTTCTTCTGGAGCTCTGTCTCCCATGGCCAATCGGATCCTTTCCCCAGGAGAGACTGACAGGCCTCTGTGGTCACCACCTTGGCTCTTACAGCACAAACCTCCCCCAGGGCCCTCCTGGCTTCCATTGCTCATGTGCCCACAGCAGAGGAATGTCCCCTCTCTCCTTTTATCCCTCCCCACTGGGCTGCAGACACCAGCTGGGCTCTCCGGGCATGGACCAGGGGCAGTGTGACCCTCCACCAGCAGGGGGCGCTGTGAGAAGGCCATGGGGTGGCTGCTCAGCAGGACATTTCACAAAGAGGCAACTGGGCCTGAGGACTAGGCCCTGTACTTCCCCCTGGAGACTCAGCAGCTGTGTCCTCTCTGCCTGGTAAAGCCCCCTGAGCAGGGACCCTTGTGTGGTCTCAGCTGATGCTTCCTCCCAGACCCCCCAGGGGTGAGCCCACCTCCATGCCCCTCAGTCTGGGGTGTGAGCTGAGCTCCAGCCCCAGGGCCCAGGGAGGGGCTGGGCAGTCCCTGGAGGGGCTCCGATTTGCATGGCAGCCCCTCCTCTGGCAGAGGGTGGGGGAGAAAAGGAGGCCTGGGCAGCCCAGCCCCACTGTGGGCTCAGGGCTGTGAGCACCATGGCCTGGACTCCTCTGCTCCTCGCGCTCCTCTCTCACTGCACAGGTAGGGACAGGCCTGGGACCAGGCTTCTTCCCTTCCTGCTCAGTCTCCTGGGAAAGGTCCCCTGGTCCCTGCCCATCACTGACAAGTGTCTGTGTCTGCAGGGTCCCTCTCCCAGCAGCCTGAGGTGACTCAGCCGCCCTCCCTCTCTGCATCCCCGGGAGCCACAGCCAGACTCACCTGCACCCTGAGGAGTGACATCAGTGTTGGTGGTAAATACATAAACTGGTACCAACAGAGGCCAGGGAGCCCTCCCCGGTACCTCCTAGAATATAAATCAGACTCAGAGAAGCACCAAGGCTCTGGGGTACCCAGCCGCTTCTCTGGATCCAAAGACGCCTCAGCCAATGCGGGGCTCCTGACCATCTCGGGGCTGCAGCCTGAGGACGAGGCCGACTATTACTGTATGATCGGGCACAGTAGTGCTTCTCACAGTGACACACACAGATGGGGAAGTGGGACAAAAACCTGGGCCTCCCAGAGTCTTATTTCACAGCAACTGAACCTGTTAACATAACTTCCAATTGCAAACTATGTGTGGAAGTACTTCTGGTTTATAATGCGTCACTTTCCATTTTTTATCCCATGTTTCTGAGCCAACACCAAAAATCAATGGTCATTATGTCTCTAAAAGGTGGCCTGTCATCCATGGGTAATTATAGAACCAAAAACAAAACAGGGGAAATTAGGGGGGAACCTCTCTGCAGGGAGTCAGAAGGATGAAATACCTGGTTTGTTTGTTTGTTTGAAGTGGCATCATTCCTTGTGTAGTTCCCACCACCATGACTGGCCCTCTCCTTGGAGCCTCTGCCTTGCCCTCCCCTTCCTCAGGGGGGGACAGGCCCTGAGGCCCCGCACTCAACCTCTGACCCCCACACCCTACGATGCATCTCTTTCTGCTTCCATCCCCAAAAGTGCTCCCCCAGGTCACCTTGAGGTCATCACTTAGTATCCCCCCCTCACAAGGCCCTGGTCCCGGTGGTGCTATCACTGTCCCTTCCCCTTCTGTGTGCAGGGAGCTGGGGTCACAGTGAGTCTCAGTCAGACAATCAGACACCAGACTCTCCTATGGATAGAAAACAGACGAGTGGGAAATATCATATTCAATGTCCCTATTAATGAGGATGCCGGTTACTAGGTAAAGCTTGACCGAAAAGCATGTGCAGAAACGCAATATGTATAATCTACTGGACAAAAGGGAAGGACATTGAGAGAATAGTATTTGTGTGCTGGAAAGAGAGTGATTAATTTCTAACAGCAGAGAAATCCCATAAAAAATAAAACTGTGCCCTGAAAATTAGGGACCTCGCCTCCTCAACACAGTCGCTGCTCTGGACCTGATCCTGGGAGGAAAGTTCCCTAAGTGACACCCTCAGTGCTGACCTTGAACAGCCAGGGAGAAGGGCCCAGACTCCCCAGACTTTCACGGAGGGAACATAGAGAGTGACCTGAGGGGATGAGGAGGCCACCTCAGGGGGCACCTGGACTCCCTGAGCCCCTGAGCCAGTGCACAGAGCTGGGGGTGGCAGGACCTGTCCCTCAGGGGCTCAGTCAGCAGGGGACACAGTGGTGCATACGGTCCTGGGCACCAGGGGGCGCTCAGGGGCTGCTGCTGAAGGGCTGGGCTCATTGGAGCTGCAACCTGTTCCCTGGCCCTGCCTGGTGCCCTGTGCTCAGGGCTCACAGCTGTGACCTTGCCACCCCCTGGGCCCCACACAGCCCCACCACTACCCTCACCCTGCCCTCCTCAGGCACAGGGACAAGACCCAGGGCCCAGGGAGAGATCAGATAGATGGGGTCTCATTTGCATGAGTGGGCCCTCCCTCCCGCAGACTATGAAGAGGGGAAGGGAGAGGTGTGGGGAGCTCTGCTTCAGCTGTGGGGCCTCAGGAGGCAGGACTCAGGGATGACCTCCACCATGGCCTGGGCCCCTCTCCTCCTCACCCTCCTGGCTCACTGCACAGGTGACTGGATAAGGGGACGGGGAAGGGGCCTTGGGAAGACATATGGGCCCTGCTTCCTCCTCTTGTCTCTAGACCCAGGCTCACCATCTCTGTGTCTCCCCCTCTTGCAGGATCCTGGGCCCAGTCCGTGCTGACTCAGCCATCCTCAGTGTCGGGGTCCCCGGGCCAGAGGGTCACCATCTCCTGCACTGGAAGCAGCTCCAACATTGGGAGTAACTATGTGAACTGGTACCAGCAGCTCCCAGGAAAGGCCCC